TAACCATTATGATTGGTTACAAATTTGATTCTATTTTTAACCAATAATTTTTTTTAAGTATCAACTTTTTTACTTGGTTGCATGACTCATTACAGCAAAATTGTCATATAATGAGTGACATACACCCTATAATGATACTATATATGTCACTAAAAATTATTTTTATCCATACAATAACTACAATATATGTTGATATATTATTAAAAAGTGTGGGTATAGACTATAGTGACACACAAAATATGTTGTTAAATCTCATTCAAAATCAACACTAAAATTGTGTGTAACTATATGTCAAATAGACGTATACCTACATATATTGTACATATATATAATGACACTTTTTTGTATGTCACTACATGTAACATTTCTTGTAGTCACTTTTTTGTCTAATTTTATTCTTTTATTTATACTTTTTTATTTCTTTTAAAAATTATAGCTAAAATTTTAATTAGTTTGATTTAAAGTTGTAAGAAAAAGTGAATTTAGAGAGGCGATGTAGTGACGAAATAAATTTCTTTTCTAATAGCAACTAATTTTGCAAAAATACATGCATCACCTAATGCAGTTAAAATTATTAATTAACAATGGTGTTAAGGTTCGAGAAATATGAAATTGTTGCACATATATTTGCATGATATTTGATAAGTGTCTAATTAGCTTGATTTAACATTCATTTGAGACACTTATCTAATAGTTTTTGTGTTGTTATTAATGTTATTTTGATTTATATAGGCATGGAATCAAAGAGATACTCTTGATCAATGTTAGCACATAGAATAGGAAGCCTTTGATCTAATTTTGTGCTTATTTTGTAGGATTTGAAACCTGGAGAAGAATGGCTCAGCCATTCTGAGGCGCTCAGCGGAATAAGAACAGAGAGTTTCCACAATGAAGGCGCTCAGCGGATCATATCCGCTCAGCGAATTGGTCCCTGGAAGAAAAGGAATGCTCTCTGCCTCCAATCCGCTCAGCCATTTCCAATCCGCTCAGCGGATTTCATCCAGAAATGTGAAGGTGCTCTCTGCCTCCTATCCGCTCAGCGAATAAAAGGCGCTCAGCGCCTAGGTTCCTTCATGGTGAAGAATTCAGGTTTCTTCATGGTGAAGAACTCTCAATCCGCTCAGCCGTTTCGAGGCGCTGAGCGGATTCATATCTCTCTTGCTTACTCTGTTTTCATATATAAGGAAAGAAAGAGAGAGAAAGGGGAGACTGACACGAGAGGAAGAAAAAAACAGAGTACTCTGGAGCTCGTGGGAACGCGAATCTTCAAAGGATCTTCTTCTTCTACCTCTCAACTTGTAACTTGGTGATTTCTTGTAATATGGAGAGCTAATCTCTAAGTTTGGGATTGATGTAGTCATCAAACTCCTATGTATTTCTCTTTGATTCATATATATATATGATCTATTACCCTTTGTTAGTGATTTGTATTCCATTCTTAATGCTTAGATAAACTGATCACTTATCTTTGATTTTGGATTTAGAATTTAGTTGGAAAACATTTTCTGGATCTAGACTTGAGTCAAATCACCTATTATTTTTAAGAGCCAGGGATGGTCTTGATCTTAATAGTTGTAACAAGTTCTGATTCGTAATGCGGAATATTGAACTAAATGAAGTGAGGAATCATTCATTGAGTTGAATATCCCAGAATTTCTTATGCCAAGGGATTGGGTTTGAATGAAAATAGAGAATGCAATAACAATGAGTAATGGAAATTTTAGAAAGAATCAATAGGAATACATAGGAGGGAGATTGATGAAATCAAATCCCAACTGTTTCTTATATCTGTTTTCTTTAAATCAAATTACCATTTGGTTTCTTGAAGTTGGAAAATCATATATCTCAAATTTGAATATGTGTAACTATTCCAATTTTAAATTTATAAGCATCAACTAATATAATAGAAATCTAAGTTATCTCACAAGTCCCTGAGGTTCGACAACCTTTTATTTTTACTACAGAGACTTGGGTGCGCTTGCCTATTTAAAATCTTAACAATATTTAAAATAAAATAGTCTCACATTGTTTGAATCACTCAAGTATAGAGTCTTTATATATCAAAGTGTTCCTAACACTTCTAAAGGGGCAAGCAAAGGGTGGTGGGCTCGCGCATGTAAGAATGGACCTTGTGAGCTCATTATAGTTCAAATTTAGCGTCCGAGAGAAGTCAAGAGTTTCGTTCAGGTATCTTAGCATTCACTTCAACACCTCCCAAGGAGTTTTGAGAATCTTTCCCTCCATTCTTTAGACATTACTTCTGAATATGGCCTAACTTTTGACACTTAAAACATTGCATTTGCTTCTTCTAATTAAGCTTTGACTCCTGATTTTTCTTGGCTTTCTTTCTTTTCCCCTCCTTCTTTCCATTTCCTTTCGTCGTCGTCAGACTACTTGCCACATCACCCACTTTTCGAATCTTGGAGCTTCTAAAAATCCTTGGTTCGAATCGAGGTCATCACCTTTTCTAGAGTGATCACATGTTCCTTCCCATACAACAATGCATCTTTAAAATGCTTGAAGGACTTCGGTAAAGAATTAAGGAGGATTACAACCTTATCCTTATCTTCAAGCTTCACGTTGATATTTTTCTAGATTATCAACCAACTTGTTAAAATCACGAGCTGCTCCTTAATCATTCTTGATTCTGTCATCTTGAACAAATAGAGTTGTTGTTTCAATTTAACCTCTAAGCCAATAACTTTATCACGTACAATGCCTCTAGTTTCGCCCACATGCCAATAGTCGTTCTCTCCTTCATGACTTCCCTCAATGCCTTATTCCTAAGGCAACACTTCTTGCCTTATCAATCATCTTTCTTTTCTCAATCATCGTCAAAGATGGTAACATGTTCACCTCCCCCTTTAACACGTATTCATACCTTGTTGGATCAAGATTGCCTCCATCTTGACTTTCCATAATTCGAAGTCATTATTTCCAGAGAACTTCTCAATGTCAAACTTTGTTGCCATCTTCATTAATCTTTCTTGATTGCTTTGTCTTGCCACAAACGATGGCACTTATTTGAGGAATATGAAACTCACAAGACAACCCAGAAAATAAAGTAAATCACAAACACAAGAATGAAAGAGAATCAAGAGTAAGAATTAGAGAACTTAATATAAAAAGATTGAAATGAAGAAGCATAAAGCATCAATTTCACACTTACTCGTTTCATAAAACTATTACAACAAGGCATATATATGGTACACAACATGCCACTTGGTATAATTAACTCATATGTCCTATATAGAGAATACATTATTGAAGTTACAAGTTACTAAGATATTATAATAGACGTTTTATTATGAGACAGATGTTATATGGTCTACATCCATGAGTATTAGACACAACCTCTTCCTAGACGAAGCTTCTATTTGACTCGCTTACAAATGGTTAGATGATTCAACAATCTAAAGATTTTGAGTCAATACCAACAAATGAAAATTATAATTCTAAATATTTGATCATAACGTCAATATTTATAAAATAAAAAATGAGCAAATTATTCGTAACTAATAATAAAATGTTTACTAATTTCTTTGAATGATTTTTATTGATAAATACTACTTAAATAAAAAAAAACCGTATTAATCCCAGACAACTTGTTAATTATTTATAAAATGTTAAGATGGATTTGCTTCACGAATACGCAGGAAGTTGACATTTTCCGACGACTCTCTAATACAAAGAAAGGAGAATAAAAATGAAAAGAGCCCTTTCCTGGTAAGTTTTTATGTTAAATTTTAAAAAGCATAGAATAGAATAGAACCCTTAAATTATTCCCAATTAATTAATACGGTTGGCAAAGGATGAATGTGTACTACCAAACAATAAGACATCACTAGTAGCTGGCATAAAACAATAATTATTAATTGTGAAAGGAATTTTTTTATTAAATTTATATAAATAAATCAAAATGTTTTTACATTTTATTTTGCTACGACAACAAATGTTTATTGTTACGAGGACAAATAAATCAAAATTTACAAAATAAATTCAAAAATACTGATTAAGTTAAAATAACTACATAACTAATTCATATGTTTGGTAAAATAAAAAAAAAAAATTATAGTTTGATGGACATGTGTTATACTCTTATTCATTAACATATTAATTTCAGTTTTATTATTTAACTAGGAAATAATTAGTACCATCTCTAATATTGTATATAATTATCTTATTTTTTTTAATTTTTGTATATTTTACATATGAAGTATAGTTCGTATAAAAAAATTACAACAGTTTATATATATATATATATATATATA